AATTGAAAATAAGTTAGGATGTTCACCCTCTCTTCTTTATTCAACATAGACTACAGGTTCTAGCTAAGGCAATCAGATAAGGAAAAGAAATAAAAGGCATCCAGATTGAAAAACAAAATAGAAATCAATCAAAATGGCATAATCTTGTATGTAGAGAAATCTAAGAAATCCACCAAAACACTGTTACAACTAATAAATAAGTTCAGCAAGCTTATAGGATACATAGTATATGCAAAATTAATTGCATTTTTATACACTAGCATGAATAATCAAAAGTGGAATTAGGATGGAATTGCAAATTGATGTAGCCACTATAGAAAAGAGTATGGAGGTTCCTCAAAAATTTTAAAATAGAACGATCATATGATCCAGCTATCCCATTTCTGGATATTTATCCAGAGAAAACAAAAACACTAACTCAAAAAGATATCTGCACCCCCATGTTCATTTTAGCATTATTTATAATAGCCAAGACATGGAAACAACCTAAGTGTCCATTGATGGATCAATGGATAAAAGAAAGTATGATATATACACATAACAGAATATTTTTCAGCCATAAAAAAGAAAAAATCCTGCCATTTGTAACAATGTGAATGGATCTGGACAGCTTTATGCTAAGTGAAGTCAAAAAGAGAAAAACAAATAGCAGATGATTGCACTTATATGTGAAAAAATAAATAAATAAATAAAAAATTCTAACCCCCAAACTCATAGATACAGAGAACAGATTGTCAGGTTGGTGGTGGGAGAAATGAGTGAAGGAGGTCAAAAGGTACAAACTTTCAGATATAAAATAAATAAGTCCTGAGGATGTAATGTTCAGCATTGGTGACTATAGTTCACACTGTGTTTGAAAACGCTTGCCTGGCCAGTGTGGCTCAGTGGATTGCTGTCCCATGGACTGAGAGGTCCCAGTTCAATTCCTGCTCAGGGCACATGCCCGAGTTGTGGGCTCGATCTCCAGGGGAGGCATGCAGGAAGCAGCCGATCAATGTTTCTTTCTCTCTTTCTCCTTTCCTCTCTCTCTCTCTCTAAAAAAAAAAAAAAAAAAAAAAAAAAAAATATATATATATATATATATATATATATATATATATATATATATATATCAATGAAGCCCTGGCCAGTTTGGCTCAGAGGTTAGAGCATCAACCTGCAGTCCAAAAAATAAATAAAAATTCATTAAAAAATAATAATAATAATAAAAAACAAACAAACAAACAAACAAAAACCCTGCAGTCCAGAGAGACCCAGGTTCAGTTCCTGCTAAGGGCGTGTGCCTTGGTTGCAGTTTGTCTCCCGCCCTGGTTGGTTGTGCGGGTGGCAGCCACTCGATGTGTCCCTTTCACATAGATGTTTCTCTCTCTCTCTCCCTCCCACTCTATCTGAACAAAAGATGGAAAAATGTCCTCTGGTAAGAAAAATAAATAAATAAATGAAAACATATTTTTAAAAAAGAAAATGGCTAAGGCTGAAAATGCTCATCACACACAAAAAATGTGTAGTCATGCTGTGATGGATTATTTTGCAAAATATACATATATGGAATCATTACGTTGTATACCTGAAAGTAATATAATATTATATGTCTTTTATATCTCAATTATAAGAAAGAAAGCGGAAAAGATACTGATGCCTATTAGGGAAATACAAATCAAAACCACAGTAAGGCCCCAGTTGGGTGGCTCAGTTGACTGGAGTGTCATCCCATACATGCAAAAGGTTTTGGGTTTGATTCCCCGGCAGGGCACACACCTATGTTGCAGGTTTGCTTCCCAATGGGAGTACATACGGGAGGCAACGGATTGATGTTTCTCTCTCAAACCAATGGTTTTTTTTCTCTCTCTCTTTAAAAAAAAATCAATAAACATATACTTGGGTGAGGATTAAAAAAAAATAATAATAATAATAAATAATAATAATAAAACAAAGTTTTTTTGTTTTGTTTTGTTTTTTATCCTCACCCAAGGACATTTTTTCCATTTTTTGTTCAGATAGAGTGGGAGGGAGAGAGAGAGAGAGAAACATCAACGTGAAAGGGACACGTCGAGTGGTTGCCACCCACACGACCCAACCAGGGCCGGGGATAAACTGCAGCCGAGGTACATGCCCTTAGCGGGAACTGAACCCGGGTCTCTCAGACCGCAGGCCAACGCTCTAACCGCTGAGCCAAACCAGCCAGGGCAAAACAAAGTTTTTTAAGAAAACACAATGACATACCACTTTCACAACCACTAGGATGATTATAATTAAGAATACAGGCAATAACAAGTGTTGACAAGGATGTAAAGAAATTGGAAACTTCATACATGGCTGACACAAATGTAAAATGGTGTAGACACTTTGGAAAACAGTTTGGCATTCCCTTAAGATGTTAAACATAGAGTCATCATGTGACTTAGTACTTCTGCTCGTAGGTATATACTCCAGAGAATTAAAAACATATTCCACACAAAAACTTATACATGAATGTTCATAGCATCATTAATATGGAATACTCATGCAATGAAAGACTATTCAGCCATATATAGGAATGCAGAACTTATATGTTATACAACATGGATGAAACTAGAAAACATTAAGGTAAGTATCAAAGAAGCCATACACAAAAAGCCACACATTGTATGATTCTACTTACATAAAATGTCCAGAATAGGAAAACCCATAGTGATAGAAAATACACTAGTGATTGCCAGAGGCTATGAAGAATGGGGAATTACAGCGTGTGTAGTTTCTTTTGGCAGGATGAAAATGTTCTGGTATTAATGGTGATGACTGCATAACTTTGTGAACATACGAAAAACTATTGAACTCTACACTTTGAATGAATGAATCGTATGGTATGTGAATTATATCTCAGTAATGCTGTTAAAAAAACTAAGGTCATGCTTTCCCTGATAATCATAAGTAAAAGCTTTCATTATTCAGAAAAGGAAAATTTATCTATATGGTGGGATTGATGCAAATTATCAATATGTGTAGATTCTTGTTGATGACAAGGTAAGAAATAAACCTCTTCTGAAAAAGAAAAAGTTACCTTCAAAGCATGCTATGAGGCCAATGATGAAGGATTTTTTCACACTGCTAAGGAATAGGAATCCAAAATAAAAAGGTTTTCATGCCTTACCTTTCTAACGTCTCACTTCCTATATGGCAGCAGTTCTCAATCTGTGGGTCGTGACCCCTTTGGAGGTAGAACGACCCTTTCACAGGAGTTGCCTAAGACCATAGGAAAACACATATTTCTGATGGCAATTCATAACAGTAGCAAAATTATAGTTATGAAGTAGCAACAAAAATAATTTTATGGTTGGGGGTCACCACAACATGAGGAACTGTGTTAAAGGGTCGTGGCATTAGGAAGGTTGAGAACCACTGCTATATGGCATACATTTCCTTTTCTAGAACATTATATAATCTTTCAAAAATTGTCACAAGCATACTAAATTTTCCATTGTCCCATTTAAAATGTCATAATCTCACTTCAGAAATGGTTTATATTTCATAGCTGATTGATTCATATTTAATATGCTGGCTCAGGTCCCCAATTGCCAAAAACTCTGATACCAAGTCTTTCAATGGGGATTTTTATTAAGAGTATATAATCCAAGTTTGTAACAGTTCAAGAACATACCAGGCTAAGTGTCACAAATAACTCTGATGAGTCAATCCCCCAGCCCTATTTTAGCATAGTAAAGAAAGTTATTCGATTATTCCAACCCTTTTAGCATGGGTTGGTACAAGGACTCATGCAGGGGCTTGATTCATGCTACCTCTAATTGCAGTATGTGAAAGAGCCAAGACGAGTGGAATGTCAGGGACTACCTACTGGGACGGATTCTTTATAATACTTTGTTAGCCAGTGTTAACAGAAAAAATGCTGATGGATGGATGGATGGATGGATGGATGGATGGATGGATGGATGGATTGGATAAATACTCATTGTACACTTGTTCCATGCGATGGCAATATATAAGGACCTGGATATGAGGGCCACGAAGGAAGAAAAGCCAGTCTTCTATCATATCTTTTTTTTTTTTTTTTTTTCTTTATTCATCTTAGAGAGAGAAGAAGGGAGAGGGAGAGAGAGACAGAAACATTGATGAGAGAGAACATCAATTGGCCGCTTCCTGCATGCCCCTCACTGGGGATTTGGCCCACAACCTGGGCATGTATGTGCCCTGACCAGGAATCCAACTGAGGACCTCTTGGTGCATGGGTCAACTCTCAACCACTGAGCCACCCCAGACGGGCCCGTCGTATCTTCTTAGTTGGGTTTCCTCCTTTATTACATTCATTGTTACACTTGTTACACTAATTAATTCTTTGCATAAGAGTCTATGCTGAGCAGGTAATCACATTTTTGTTACTAAAAAAAAAAAAAAAAAAAAAATGGCACTGTATAATTGAGATGATTAATGCAATTGGAAGAGAGAATTCATCACAGAAAAAAAAAGTCTAGATCGTGCCGAAGCCCAGTCATTTCCAGTGACTAGAGACGCCCAAGCTGGATTTCCACTCCGACGGCTCCTGGGCGCAAGCCCGAGACGGGCTGTCGGCGAGAAGGCAGGGCGCTCTACACGCAGGGAACCTCAAGTCCCAGCATCCCCCGGGGACTCCAAATCCCAGAAACCCGCTCAGGAAATCTCCCCGAATCCCAGATCGGCTGACCACAGACGCGACCAAGTTAGGACGCTGGGGTGAGATGCGCAGCATCTGCCCCCTACCTTTTTCCCTGTAAGGAGAGGGCTTTTCACAGAACCATGGTTACCAGAACCTTGCCATTCTCTCCGACACGGCTTCCTCGAAAGGCCCTCTCCCGGTGTATTTGATGTGATGGTTAGCGTCTCCCGTTCTCTCTCCCCCTTTCCCTGCCCTCCGCAGGAATGGTTCAGCCGGGCATTGAGGCTCCTTGAGTTGGCTCCGTGGTTGCGCCCGCCCTCCCCGGGAATGTGGGCCTTTGGAGCCAGCGAGGTGGGAGGGACCGAGGCCGGGAGGCGTGCTGGGTCCGGGCGACTGTAGAGGCGGTGGCGGCCGCGGGCGGTGGGAGGAGCCGCGTGGTTCCGGCTGCCGGGGCGAGGCGACCCTTGGGTCCGCGCCGCGGGCTGGGAGAACAGGTAGGGCAGCGGACTCCGGGGGAAGCTCAGGCAGCCTAGTCCCCCACCGCGCCCGGCGCGCCCCCAGCACCCTCGGCCTCTGGCATTGAGGCGGGGGAGTAAGGAGATGCCGACCCAGAGGGACAGCACTACCATGTCGCACCCGATCGCAGGCGGCGGCTTTGGGGACCACTCTCACCAGGTCCGGGTGAAAGCCTACTACCGCGGGTGAGTGCCCTGGGATAGGGGTGGAAGGGAGGGAGTAGGCCAGCTCGACTTGGCCTGGAGGAGGGGAGGCTGAAGCGCTAGAGATGTGGCGGGTCGGTCTGGGAGAGCGACTCTGGGCACTCGGGATGGGTCACCAACTGGTCCGCGGAGGAGCATGGGGCGCTGGATTGGGGCACCCCCCAGATGTGGTGCAGGGCGTCTGGGAGTCCCGCGGCTGAGGGTCCGGAGTAGAGTCCGAGGGAGGAGCCTTGGAATAGAGTAGGTACACCTGGTGGGTTCCATGGACTCGCCTAAGAAGAAATTGACAAGGGACGTATTTTTGTTGTTGTTGTTCAGACAGAGTGGGAAGGAGAGAGAGGGAGAGAGAGAGAAACATCGATGTGAAAGGGACACATCGCGTGGTTGCCACCTGCACGACCCAACCGGGGCCCGGACAAACTGCAACCGAGGTACGTGCCCTTAGCAGGAACTGAACCCGAGCAAGGGACCTATTATCTGGGGCTGAGAGTTGATTCAGTGATGGCTCAGCGAACTAACTTTGCTATGGGCTTAAAAGACAGGACCGCTTCAGTTTGCTGGCCCTTTTGATTTCCAGCAGGCCTAAAGCCTCTGATTCTCTAAGTCAGGTTTGTTTCATTGCCTAGAAGCGTTCATGAAGTGTATCTGGACTATGGTCAGACTGCCAGTAACTTAGACATGGGAGTCATTATTTAAGAGTAGAGTTGATGCGTTTTCAGGATGTGCATTAGGTACTTATGTGTCTCCAAGATTAGATTGTGTATGTGTAAAGTTTTATAAACAATTTTTTGTCAGTGTTGCCTCATGGACCTTCCGATAGGATGAGATAATGCAAGGTGAGAAAAGGACGAGTCCAGGCACAGCTCGAAAACTGTGATCTTTACTCATATTATTACCTAAGTTATAACTCCTGTGGTTACCTGAAATAATTCAGTCCTGAGATAGTTGTATTAAATCATACTTCATAATCAGTGACCTGAAGTGTCCCTTTTTCCTTGTATTCAGTTGTGGTTTGAAATTGCTTTGAGATGATTATATTTAGGAGGATTAGAAAGGTGAAACGTTAGTGTGAGAATAAAGGTTTGAAACTAAGGGTTAACAGAAAATCCAATTGTTTTGGCGTGCCTTACTGCTTGTCCAAGCAGAAATAAATTGCTTAAAAAAACTCAAGCACTTGGAGGTTGAAACTGCGATGCATACTTGTACATTCCTGAAAGGATCAGTGCAGATAGCAAACTTTCAACATGCCTCTCTCTCTCTTTGATTTCAAAGAAAATATAAGCCCCTAAATGTTACTGATTTGATGTAAGGACATACTCGTTTAGTTTGTTTGCTGCCATGAAGCCTCTGACCTGTGTATATTAGCTTGACTGTATTCAGAAGTAGTTTACGGGCATTATTTTTGGACAGTATCAGCATTTTTGCTTAAATTTTAAAGCAATACCAAAAGTTCTGTGTAGATTCTTTTAAAAGTTTGTAGTTGTCAAAATTGACTTGAGGATGGTCAGCTATGAAATTTGCATTGTGAGGAAAAAGTTTTGCTTCTTTTATCTTACCTTTAATTTAATAGATGAGATACTTTTCACTTCAGAATGTGTTCCTTTTTTTTTTTTTTAAATCCTCACCCAAGGATATTTTTCCTGTTTAGCTTCATATAGAGTGGGAAGGAGGCAGGGGGAGGGGGAGAGAGAGAGAAACATCAATGTGAGAGGGACACACAGACTGGTTGCCTCCTGCATGACCCTGACCAGGGCCAGGGACAAACTGCAACCGAGGTACGAATGCTACCCACAACTCTGGTCTGTGGGCCGATGCTCTAACCACTGAGCAAACTGACCAGGGCCAGAATGTGTTCCATTTTATAAAGTAAACATCCATGAGTTATTAGGTACAGAGAATGAAATACAGTACCAATTTTTTTTAAAGGTATCTGATTATTGACAGTTTAAAAGCTAGATTAAAAAATGAATATACAACACATGGTAGGAAAGTGAAAATTGTATAGATATACAATAAAAAGTGTTCCCCATCCCACATTCCCATCCTCTAGAGATAACTACTGTTGACAGTTTATTTCTGGTTCTTCTGGAGATTGCCTTTATTATTTTAAAAGTTATAGTTGTGTCTTACAATTTATCAACTGGAGATAACATCTTTTGCTACTCTGAAAGATGAGAAATTGGATGCACACTGCCTTTTGCTTTTTCTCCTCTTGGTGCCTCTCAATTTTTTTTATTGTTAATCTATTATTTTTAGTTCTCTGGTTTACCTTTATGACTGTATTTATTTTATTTTGTTTTTTTAACCCTCACCCGAGGATATTTTTACATTTATCTTTAGACAGAGTGGTAGGGAGAGAGAGAGAGAGAAAGAGAAACATCGAAATGAGAGAGACACATCGACTGGTTGCTACCCACATTACCCCAACCAGGGCCGGGGATGAACTGCAACTGAGGTACATGCCCTTGGCCGGAATCAAACCCAGGACTCTTTGGTCCGCAGGCCCACACTTTAACCGCTGAGCCAAACTGGCCAGGGCATACCTTTATGACTTTAAATAATATAAATTCTTGACTTATAAATTTAGACAGTTTCCAATAATTCCAACTATGTAAGATGAAACTGGTGCTTCTTTATTTATTCCCACTTTTGTTAGTTTGACAAATACAAGTAGGCCTAATTAGTAAATTAAAATCATTGTAAGCTTCTCCTTTGGAAAGAAATCAAAGTCTCCTATACTTTAGGAATGTATGATCATATTTTCTTGGCTTATTGCTCCAATTATTTTAAGAAGGAAGAGAGAATAAGGAAATATAATCCTTTTAATGCTTGACTAAAATTTCTCCAAAGCATTCATGTTAATGTTTTCTTCATTTTATTTTAAAATCTATGAATTTTTGCTAAGGAATGAAAGAACCCTTTGCTCTTCAGTGCTTTTAAGACAACAAAAGCTGTTTAATAGTGCCTTCATTTCAAGCCTTGTTTAAAGACAACATCAGCACTTTAAATTGTACCAATTTCTGTCCTCTGAAATTAGATCTGTTAAGATTATATGTTTATTAACAATAGTCTAAACTGATGGTTATGATATTACAGTCAGCAGCTCATTACTACAGATGAAACTAAAATGAGTCATCCGTGAGGATAGTTAATAAACAGGTTGGCTAACTAGAACACCTACTTGATTTTAAAATAGAAAATCCTTTCTTTTTATCAAGAAATGTAAGGACGATCTGCACTGGAAAAAAATTACTTTCTTTCAGACTTTCTGAATGACTCTTATCCAATAGCCTTCCCCTTATTTTCTTCTAACAATATTTCCAGGGAATGTTGAATCTCGGAACAGAAGCATTTTATTAATGCTTTAATGCAGTGAATAAATGGTCCTCTTCTTTCAAAGATGTGTATAGTGTTATTATTCTGCTAAATTTGTTCTTAGTGCAAATGTGTTGTCTCCCTAGATATAACAGACATTTGATTAGATTTTTTTCTCTAGTTTTTAAGCAGGAGAGTAATAGCACTGAGAATCTGATTTTATTGGAGCTCACCTAAGAGTGCTTATATCACAGCCTGCACAACTCTTTCCTTGCCACGCTAGCTTGTCAGTGAATGACCTTTCTTCAATCATTACCTAGTGGTATTAGTTTGGAAGAAGAGAAACAGGTTTTGTTGGTTAGCGATAGATTGCCATTGGATGTGATTATCTTTATATAAAGTTACTTGATATTATGGGATCAAATTTAACAAGGAAATGTCTGGACTAATTTCTTTACATTATAAGTATATGAGAAATTTTGCAAAAAGCTTGTAAAAAAATGCTTTTTAACCACTGCTGTTGTGCAGTTATAACAACCCAGAAGATTCTTTGTGTGCACAGCTACAGATAAAAAGATAGTTAATTCCTTGCACATTTGGAATGTATAGCTGGTTCAGTGAAGAAATAGGCAGGATTTTTTTTTTTTTCACTGTTAACAAGTCTTGGCAAGAGTTGTTTTTAAAAGTATTGCAAAATAATTTTAGTGATATACTTTCATAATGGTTCTAAGGCAATAAAAATAGTGTATTGATTTGAGAGGTGGGGGAACGTTAGGTACTGGAGATTCTGGCATGGCACCTAACTAGGGAACTTGTCCATAGCTTTACTGGAGAGAAGGAAAGGGCATGGTGGCCTGATGCCAAAAACCAAAACCAAAACCACCCTCTCAGAAATTTGAATTAGATGATATGGAGATAAATTGCTTGTTAGCAGTGAGTTAGCAGAAGAGTTGAGGGAGAGGCCGGTGAGGCCAGGACCAACCATGTGCGAGTGGAAGGTCTGATGAAACAGGAGACAGAAGCAGTTCTCTGCAGAAAATTCCCCCTAGAGGTCCACGAAAGCTTCTAATACAACTCCCAGACCTCTTTCTAAAGTCACTTGAATGTTTGCTTTTTTATGATTGAAATGAACCTAGTTAAAACATGAATTTAAAAAATCCCAGTCTTGCTTATGAGTTCATATATTACTTGTGTTTAAATTCAGTTTAAGCCCTGGCCGGTTTGGCTCAGTGGCGGTCCGAGGGTTCAATTTCAGTCATGGCACATAATCAGGTTGTAGGTTCAATCCCCAGTCAGAGAATGTACGGGAAACAACCAGTCAAGGTTTCTTTCTCTTTCTCTCTCAGTCTCTCTCTCTAGAATCAATGAGAAGCCTATCCTCAGGTGAGGATTAATATATAAATATATATATATGTGTGTGTGTATATATATATACACACACACATACATATATAAAATACTACAGTTGAATACATATATATATTATATTATAGTTGAATATATATATTATATTAATATATATAGTTGAACATTTTCTATAAGCCAAGCACATGGTGCTAGGGTGGACACAGAGGATGTAGAGGTGGATAATACAAGGCTCTGCCCTTGAGGAACTAAGAAACTTATAGGAAACAAGACAAAGAAGAGTTAATAAAGGTGTGTGTGTG